GTGCAACGAACGCGGGCCCTCGGGGTCACCCGGTATAAACGTCGCCGCTTGCGGGATCGTGGCTTCGGGCGTTTAGCAGCCCGCAATCGGCCGACTGGTGTGTTGATTCCCCGTGCCAGCGATACATTGCCAAGCCGGGTGAGAGGCGCAGGGAGACACCGCGCGAGAGTCAGAGCACAGGGGGGCACACGGGGGGAAGGGAGAAGCGGGATCCGACCGACCGACCGACCGACAAGCAGAGGCAGGCAGGCAGGCAAGCAGACGGAGAAAGAACACCGACGCGTTAGCCAAAGGGAGGGGAGGGGAGAGAGAGAGAGAGAGAGAAATGGAGGGCGTACGCGCAAAAGCGACACAGAAATAGCGCGCGAGAGAGACAACACAACGAGCACAACGAGGGTGAGGCGCAGAGAGTGGGAGAAACAGAGTTGGAGCTTGGCCTGGCTTTGCTTGGCTCGGCTCGGCTCGGCCTCGTGCACGACCCTGCCTGGCCTCCCGTTGCCGCCTGTTTCTGTCCTCCGGCTCCTCTTCCTCCACTTCCACCACCTCCTCCTCCCTCGGCAGCCGAACGCAAACGTCTGGTTAATGAGGCGCACGCACACACGCTCGCGCGCACGCGCAACGTACGTGTCCCCTCGACGGCGACGCCCTCCTCTTGCACCTCCGCGCCGCGTACAGTCCTCCTCATCCTCCTTTCTTTCCTCTCCGCCGGCCTCGAACACAATGCGCCACGTCGCGCTGCCTAGGCGTCACGGTAATGACATACTCCCACATGCACGTTATGTCCGATATCGTGCCGCCTAGCAGTAGCAGCAGCTACGGCTGCCACCAGCCTCACCGCACTACCACTACCAAGCTCTCGGTCGTCACCTAGCGTCGCTGTTTACAGTGTGACACCGACACCGACACCGACACCGACACCAATACCAATACCAATACCAATACCAATGCGAGAGCGGGCTACGTCCTCTCTCTCTCTGTCTCTCTCTCGATAGCGACCGACCGGTAACAGCAACGTCGACGTCGACAACGCGATGCGCGACGGTAGCAGCAGCAGCAGCTGGAACGGTAGCAGGCGGCTGTCCGGTCAGGAAGCCGCGCTGTGCAAACTAGCCGATACGCTTGCGATCGTAATTGAACAGGCCGCGAAATCGTCGAGAATTATTTTTTCATGAGCCAACCTGCAGCAATTCCGACTGACTGCAGGCTCTCTCCTGCTCTGTATGGGCTGTTGGCGCCGTGCGATCGATATCGAAGTCCGGTATAGGGAACCGATGGCTTCTCTCCTCTCGATGACGGACGTTGCCGGTGGACCGGCACGATTCCCATTTTTGAAGAATTCGTTGAATCTGTTGAGGACACGTTCCTCCTCATTTGGGATTTGATCGAGATGCGGCAAGGGCAGTCTTTTTGATTCTCGTGGTCGAGTTTGAAGAGACTTTGGTGGTCACGCGAATTTCGAGACGATTGCTTCTGAACTCGATCTGTTGAACCTCGAAGAAACGTAGGTAGAGACGATACTGATATGATACTTCATCATCTTGTGTGCCAACGTGACATTAATTTAACAAAGTAACGACGCTTTTCGAAAATAAAATGCAAGAAATGAAAGGATTAACTTTCAAATCGATATATTTATCACAATGACGCGATATTATTGTCACGTTATTTATAACGTTACGATAAATCATCGCTCGCTCCTCGACTAGTTACGCGAATTAACTCGACTAACGTACCTCTCCCCGAACGTACGTAGTCTCACACGTGTGAAAGCGTCTCCCTCAACCCCTTCGTTCCTACCTTCGTTACGTGCGCGCACACAACCCCAAATAAAATGTCCCATCTCGCGAATCGTCGGCAAACACGACGTACAGAATCACCGTCACGCGATTCACTGGAAAAAAAAGAAAAAAAAAAAAGAAAGAGCTCCTCCTCGTCGTTCGCTTCCCCCGTCCCTCCCTTTCTCCAACCCGGGAAGCGAACGACGACGCGCATATTCTAAATTGCGAGCCAGATAATGTTAACGTTGCTGCACGAGCGCACGGCGGAGGGGCGCGCAGGGCGGGAGGGACGCATTTAAAATCCATCGCGTCGTTACCGGCACGCATCCATGTAAAGCCGCGGCCCACGGTCCATGGAGATTAATATTCCCACATGCAATCAGAGAACGTGGTACCCGGCAACAACTACAGAGCCGGTGATTACCGTATCGATGCGGCTGATTGCTCGGCGAGAGAGCGAGAGAGGCAGCAAGGGGAAACAGAGACAGACAGAGGGAAAGCCCCCGACGTCGTCGAATCTTACCGATGGATGGAACCCGCGGAAATTCGTGGAAACATGGAAGCACGACACGACACGGGGTAGCGGGGGGGGGGTAGAATCACCCCTCGTGTCTCTCTTTTTCGGTTCTCGTTGAATCCGCGCGACGCTCGGATCCGTCCACTGATAGCCGTGTAATTTCGACGTGGCGTCGCGACGCGACCTAACTGGGATTCATGACGGACCATGCGGCTTCGTTGAATTTTTGAAATTCGCCCTCCACGCTCTCCCTCCCGTTTTTCTCTTCTTCCTCTTTTTTTTTTTCTTTTGTTCCTGTTGCAGAGTTTCGAAAGCGAAGGACTCTGATTGTGCATTAAGAAATTAAGAATCCATGTTGTTAATAATGCGTACGTGTCTTTGGTATTACACTTAAGTTAATAGTAGTTTTCAACACAAATTTTAGTTCTGAGAATCGACGAATGTTAGTGGATGATGATTTAGTTGCACCCTTCCTTAAAATATCTGCACGAGTATTCAAAATCGCTACCTCTGCGAGAAATACGTAATTTTTGAAGTGTCGAGTAACGAAAATATTTATACGATCAATACAAAACTCTCCTCCAATGTGTCTCCAAACTAACCTCGCCTTTTTTCCCCGAAACCAACTCAACCCGAGATCCTGCCCGTAACCTCTTGAAGGCGTCGATTTTCCACGCGCCAACGAAATACGTGCTCTCTCGCGTAATCTTGAACGAACGGCTCGAACCTGGCTCGTACCTGGAACGATAACCTAGAAACGGGGCGAGACGACGACGACGACGGTGAATAGCGAGAGGAAAGAGAAGGAGGATCGTGGCTCTCGGCTCCTCGTCAAGCGTGGCGAGTTCAGCGCGAGGATCAACGCGACCGTAATGAACGGGGATTCCTTCGGTCTCGGACTTTTTTTTTCCCCTTCTTTTTCTTCTTCTTCCCTCGCGGGAAAGAAAATGCCTGGCCGCGAGACGGCGCGTGTAGAAAGAGAGGAAGAGGAGGAGAAGCGATAGCGAAGCGGATAGGGAAGCTGTGGGGGCACAGAGGCGGAAAAGGTGGATAGAGGGGGGGAAAAAGGAGGCAGACGAGTGGGAGCGCCGGCAGAATTAATCTCTTACCGCGAGGCTCGAGGAAGCGGCGAGCCGCGGCGCGGTCTCCCTCGGAAAAAGGAACGCGTTAAAACACTTTCCAGGCGCGCGCGCGATTTTCAGCCAGCGCTGTGTGTGAACAGAGAGAAGGAGAGAAAGAGAGAGGAAGAACGAGCGAGCGAGCGAACGACACTCGACTGCCGGGGCGCGTTTGAATGAAATTGTTCCGATGGAGACGCGGAATAAGCGGGCGACGAAGAAAATTGATACCCCGGAAAGCCGTCCCAGGAGGAATTTCCGGCGCATTTTCTGAACATCGTGGAAATAGCGTTTCCTCCGTTCCGTTTTCTTCTTTTTTCGCTGCGCTCTTCTCCTAGCTTCTTCCCTTCCGTGAACTATGCGTCATCGTCTCTTTCCCTTCGTTTTTTTCCCACCTCTTTTCCCTTCGAGCTACGCAAAAGGGTTCGAACAATTTCAGTTTGGCGTTAGAAGTGGGTGTATGATGATCGAGAGAGCTTTGGGATTTTGAAACACTATTAATTTTTTAATAGTTAAACACGATCTATTTAATTATTTTAAACGATTTTGAATTTCTGCCGATTTCTTCTATTATTAAAAACTATTTCCTTTGCTATTTTTATAAGTATTTCTTCTTATCCAACAGCCATTTTCGAATTAATTTTTAAGGGATTGAATTTCGGGAGCTGCTCTCGTTTCTTAAACTCGAGTCATAACGAATTAATAGCTAACAAAATTGTAGCAATGTGTTGTTTTTAGTTGTTTGTCAAGCCTATAAAGTTTCATTGAAATCAAAGCCTTTCTTCGTGAGTTGCTTTCACAATATTTCGTTTTCGGAATATTTTTGATCATCTAATTTTTAATAAGTAGTACACGAAAGTCAAAGATGAAATTTCATTCAGCAGCCTCGTTCCAGCATAGAACCGTGGTTGTTGAAAATTTAACGAACGAATAATTTTGAAGTCGTAATTTCGATTCAACCGAATGTTTCAGCCACACGCTGACATCGTACGAAATCGTTTTATTAATATCGTTCATCTAAAACGCATAAAGACCCGAAGTTTGATAAAATTTATTTCTCTGGCAGTTCCTTCCTGTATTATTAATGCAATGATTTAACCGTAACATCGGTTTAAAAACCGTGTTAAGTGACATCGAAAAAGTGAACTTAGCGGATACGTACAAATTAATCCGGGCATTAAAATTTGCATGAATTTAATCCGCGATGGATTCACGTGAAATTAAAATAAACGAAATGGCTTAATTACGAATTGCATCGATGTATCTAAATGTTGCGAAACTTTTATAGGAACGTTTCGAGAAATAGAGATTATTCGAATTATATATTTTCGATTTTCAAATATTAATTAGTAAACAGAAAAAGCAACATTGTGCCATTAATTTTTTTGAAATCTCATTTCTTCGCATTAGATGTTGAAATATCTGTGCAGAAGCTCTCGAATTAAATATGATGTTTAATACGTGTTTTGCGAAATCCAGATCATTACAGATTAAAGATCTGAAACTAAATAAATTTCGTCCCTACGTATGAACTGAAAATAACGAGGAAAATATGTATGTCAAGGTATAAAATTTAACAAGACATACATATTTTCTGAATAAAGTCATCGAGTCAGTATTCTCGTTTTCACTGGCCTTATCAGCTTCGTTGCGAGTAAAATCTGCATACTTGACGCGTGTACGTACAGCAAGAAGGTACATATTAAGTTTCGTTATGATTTTAAGAAACCTTGGTACCGCGTTCTCTCGCAGTAACCAAATCTGTAAAACGGAGTTGTTCTCCTTAGCGAGCGAGTCTGTTTCACCAGAATCAGGTCTCACTGATGTGTTGCATGTGTTGTATCTTTTCTCTCGGAAATCGTTTCTCCGCTTGGTTCGTAGCGGAACCGTAAAAAACCCAGTTTAATATATGACAACTTCTGCTTCGGAAGTAAAGTGTTTTATCACCTCGAAAGCATTTTGGATCCTAAATTTGCTAAAAGATCTAAGAAACCGTAGGTTCTTACTGGCAAATTACTGAAAAATCCTTCGGAGGATCAATCCGAATGTTAAAACTTCTCGAGCGAGATTTGCTGAGAAATCCAAGAAATCACGGATCTCTGTCGTTGGAAAGAATTTTCATCGACAGAATCATTGGAAAGTCACAGACTTGGTGATCGAATTCGAATGACAGGATCGGTGGAAATTTTTTTTTAAAGAATGAATTCGTGGAGGAACGTGAAAACTAGAATAGGCTCGCTGGTCGAGGAATTTTGGCGAAAAAAGATTTTTCATCGGGAAAAGGAGTTCACGGAAATCAGCGCGGCGAAAAGCTGTCGATACTCGGGGAGAGCGGTTCGCGGCGGGGTTGACGACGGGAAGTGAGAGAAAAAAAAAAAAAAAAGCGTCGGGACAAGAGGCGGCAGAAGAAGCGGCGCGTGAGGAACGGCACAAGATAGACGCGATGGATCCTGAAGTGGGATGGGCTGGAGTGGAACGGATGAACGGCTGGATGGATAGCGCGATGAAACCTTTGTGGAGGAAGCATGCGTACTGCCGGTGCCGGTCGTTGCCGCGCCTTTTACGTTTTCCACGCGGAGCACCGCTCGCTCGTCGCTTTTTCGAGTTACACGTAGAACCCGTTTCAAGATACGTACATACATACATACGAGGGTCGAGAACTGTTTCTTGGGATGCGTATATTGAATTTAGAAAATAGTTGGACTGCAACTTCTTTTAGTTGCTGTTTTTTTTTTTTTTTTAATCTTGATATAATTCTTAATATGATAGATTTTTACTATTTGAATATTCGCTACAATAGATTTTGCATTACATTTAATTGTTTCATAAATTATTACATGTTTTTCTCGTGAGATCTGTCCTTGTACCATACTATTGTTACGTGTTTGACGTGTTATTTAAATTCACGTTTAGCTGCGAAATATTCGAAATGAACTTGAAACAATTGCGAACTAAAAAATAATTGAGATACGAGATTTACTTTCTCGTACTGTGCTATTTCATGTTTGGCGTGTCAGTTAAATTTAAATTTAGTTACAAGATATTTAAAATGGATTTAAAATGATTGCAAATATTTAAAAGAAGCTTGAAATAATTGAAAAGAACTCACATATAAGAAATCATGTTTAATTCCGTGATGAAATGTTCGTTAAAGGTTGTTCGAGTGACAAAGGCGTTGATACAATTCCCCCGCAAACAGAAACAGCAAACATGGTGCAGCAAAGTTTTGGAAAAAAATTTCGAGCTTATTCCGGTTAATTACCGATTCAACATCGCATTTTCGGATTTCGAACGATCCTCGATCCGGTCGGTCCCGGGTTACGAGGAACCCGCGATCGAAATTTAATTTTCATTTTCATTTTCGCGTTCGCGATTCAGTGTTTTGAAATTCTATCGAGATTCAATTTTCATTTTCATTTTCGCATTTCATGCGTTCACCATTTGGGAATCGGTGTTAAAGCGAGGTAGCCAATTGCTATTTTTCCAGGATCAAATATTCCGATATAATATTTCGACGGCAATTTTTGCTGGAACCCCGTCCGGCTTCTGGCGCAACAAACCACCGCGCGTAACCAAAGAAAAAATCGTCGAACGATCTCGTGGAATTTTTGTCTCGCTGTCGGTTCGAACCTA